TTCATCTTCTAGAAAACTTTGATATCCGTATCGTCGTTTGCAGGGCGAAGAAACGTAACTCCATTTGAAGGTTGCAAAACTGAGTAAAATAATTCAATGTTATACGAGAATGTACGATTGAAAATGACAACTGAAATGGACAATGAAAATGGAGATCTAAAAAAAATCAGAAGTATTTTCAGTTAAAAATGCCCTAAGGAACGTAACTCCATTTTAACGTTGCAAAATTGAGTAAAATAATTCACTGTTTTACGAGAATGTACAATTGAAAATGACAATGGAAATGAAAATTGAAAATGGAGATCTAAAGAAAAATCAGAAGTATTTTCAGTTAAAAATGCCCTAGGTTCTGGTATAAATGCCCTAAAGAACGTAACTCCATTTGAAGGTTGCAAAATTGAGTAAAATAATTCAATATTTTACGAGAATTTACATTTGAAAATGACAATTGAAATGAAAATTGAGAATGGAGATCTAAAGAAAAATCAGAGGTATTTTCAGTTAAAAATGCCCTAGGTTCTGGTAAAAATGCCCTCGGTTCTTCTGATAAAATTGCAATTTGCGAGGGAAAATTTGGCAACATTGAAATGAAGTTACGTTTCGTGGGAGAACGACGATATATTCCCTAAACATTAACAGACATATAAGAATATATTTCGAGGATAATGAAAAATTCGCTCGAAAAAATATTTTGCTTTATTTGTGAGTGCTCAAGGCAAGCTCGCATTTTCTTTTAAAACAAATTTCAGATATGAGAAATCGTAGGAAAAAAGATTTAAAGTGTGATAATGCACCGTTTTGTGGCGTCATCACTCGTTTGAACTCATGATTTTTGGCAGATTCGACCATTTGATAAAATCTCTTCCGATCGGTGTTCGATTTAGAGACCACGGATATTCTCGTATTCAGTTCAGTCAGTAGTTTCCAATTAAATATGAAATTCATAAAATTTCAGACACATGCAAGTTATCTATCCTCTGAAAAATTAACGGGAAGAAAATCGCAAGTTTTCCAGGAAATTGGTATTTAATTGGATGAAATTTGGCAACATTTGATTGTTCATACGACTTTTTTTCTGAGCACGGCAGATCGGGAGTCGACCGCGCTGGAAAAAGTGAAAGAGCTCGGAGCGGTCGAACATCCGAGAAAGAATTTTGAGCGTAAAAATAGAGGAACCGGTTTCGGTTTCGAGTGCCTTTGGATTTGGGTAGATAAGTCTAATTTTTTTCCCTTCCACAAAGTGGCCGTGACCGGCCGGTCCTTCCAAAACTGAGTTCTTCGGCCGAAGCAACGTCTGATGACTTTTCGCACTTGGAATATTCACGCGTCCCCCTCTGACTTCGTCACCTTTTCAAGTTTATGTTCGAACTTTTTTTTATACCCGGTCCATCTCGAATCTTGAAACAATCGATTTTCCTGCTGGTTACTGATCGTCGGATTTTTTTTTCTACGATACTCGATAATCAGGGTTACCAGAATGAAGGAATAGAAATTCCCCGAGATTTCCCTCATTTCCCTGTCACATTTTAGTGAAATTCCCTAAAAATTGAAGATATGCTAGATGGCTATAAAGACATAATTTCAAATAGTTTTCACTCAAAATTTATTGTTTGAAACGTCAAACCTTTCAGGTTCATGTTCGAACTTTTTTTTATACCCGGTCCATCTCGAATCTTAAAACAATCGATTTTCCTGCTGGTTACTGATCGTCGGATTTTTTTTTCTACGATACTCGATAATCAGGGTTACCACAGAATGAAGGAATTGAAATTCCCCGAGATTTCCCTCATTTCCCTGTCACATTTTAGTGAAATTCCCTAAAAATTGAAGATATGCTAGATGGCTATAAAGACATAATTTCAAATAGTTTTCACTCAAAATTTATTGTTTGAAACGTCAAACCTATAGTCTGGAAAGCAAATAAAGGTGACTTGAAAATTTTTCCCTGTTATTTTTAACATTTTCGTAATTTTCCCTTAAATTTCCAGGTTTTCCCGGTATTCCCTGACTGTGGTAACCCTGGATAATATATTAGAATGCTTGCTGAAAATGAAGTCAGTAAACTCATCGTATATATTAAATTTTGAAAATTATATCAAATTAATACACATAAAATTAAAAATCAAAATCAAATTTAGGAAATGATTATGCCCGGTAAACATGCTTGTAAGTCCCGCTTTTAAATCTGTAAACTTTCTTGCTGCACTATTAAATGATGGACTAACGGAAGCTATTGATTTAAAATCTGTTCATCTCTGTAGCAATACTTGCAAGATAACACGACTTTTATTCCCTGGTATTTAAATTTATTTAAAACGATGGTCGATCCTAGGTGGGACACTTGATGCAGCCTTCCACATTTGGAATCGATATTTTTAATGAATTTAAACGGAGAAACTTTAGAATTATTAGCCTGCAGTAATCGCCACCGGCTAACCTGCAGTCAGGTTTTAAGATTTAATCCAACCGGCATTTTGCAGCGGTTAGAGACCTTCTTCCTGATGGTATCTCAGCGAAAGGTCACCGACTGGAACTGGTGATACTGAAATCAGTGAGCTCCTTTCTTGTGAGTCATAAAGTTCATTTGCTCTTCGAGTAAAATATTGTGACAGCGACCTGAATCGAGCGACCCAATACCTACGGAGACCAAAGGGTCAAAGGAGCAACAGCAACACTGATAAAGGGTATCGACGGGAGGGCACCAAGCAAGTCTGAGGCCCCGCCAGTGTTGCCAACAAACAATTAACTTGCTAATTTGTTAGCGCGAATTTGAATTTATGTGCAAATTTGTCTCGTGCGTTTAGAGACAGAATTATCGACAAGGTGATTAACTAGGAAAATGAAATTATCTTGGACATTATTGCGCGATATTCTTAAAAAGTTAAAAATATGTTCTTCTGGCTGAAAAAAATAAACCACACCATATTTCAGCGATGACTGTACTGCAGTGATTATAGGGAAGAACGCCGTACGAGCCTTCAGACGAGTTTCCTTCGATAAAAACCGAATTGATCAGGAAAATTGTAAATATCTCTTCCCATCATTTTCAGACAATTTTTTACGCACTTTAATCTCAAATATATGAGAATTTCGAGGGAAAATATGCATGAGTGTCGTCAAATGTACATGTGTTATTATGGGAAATATGGCAACTCTCGAATGTTCATACGGCGTTCTTCCTCAGCAAGGCAGTATAATAAGCCTTCCCGGGGAAGTTGATTTTTCAGGTGATTTACATTGCTCTACACAACACGGTGGATACTTCGCTTTGCATTTTCACTAAGCACTGAAACACGAACGATCCCCTTGGTTTATCGATTGAAATGTTATAAATCTGCCTAATTCGGCATCACTGCCCAATCTATTCTCTGGCGCCAAATATTCCAGGAGGAATCCACTCAAATCTACCTGCGCGCTTATTATGCCTACCCTCCTTTATCGCTGAGCACGCCAGGCGTGCCAAACTGGCGACAAAATTAGTTCGTTAACATTGTTTAAACTCACTGTTGAATAATTCGTAATTTTTCTCACGATCAGGCTAATAGAAAATTTTCAGTCTACCAAATTTCAAGAGAAATCCATCGAACTCATGGTTTAGCAAGCGGATTTTTTTATTTTCCCACACGACTGAGCAACACGGTTTGCTCACACAATAAGCTCGGTGTTTACCTGCGGCCTTCTCTTTTACGGTCAATGTTACATTGATTGGATCGGCAAGAATGGGTTCATTATAAACGTCTGTGTGGTAGTGAGGCTTAGATGGTGTGTTGGTGACCAAAATAATGGAGTATGTACGTACTTTCCGCGCAACTTGCAGACATTGTTGAAAGCGCTGCATGTCCGGAGGGAAGTTGAATATCTTCCTTAAATTTGCAGTAAGAAATCTAAAGAAACTTGCAGTCGGCTACGAGAAAAGCTTCTTGTTTATTACTATGCCTACTTTAGCCTACCATGTGCTTTAAAAGAATTTTCAAGGGGGGAAGAAAATAATGTTCCATTCAAAAGGCTTTCTAATAAATACTTGGGTTCGAAAGAAATTGTCGCAAGACAAAAACGAAGGGAATTTTTTATGAAAATATTTATGTAGTGTAGATAATTCAGTCATCGACATTCACGTTAGCAGTTGATTTCTGTTCAAAATCGTTAGTCAGTTATGAGATAAAATAATATTAAGTGTCAATTTTGTTGAGCATCCACTTTCACTATGAAGTCCGATGCATTATGTTTTGAAATAAATGAGCGAATGGGGTTTTTACTTTTCGTCTTCTTTTTATCTCTTCATTCTGAAAAATTGTAGGTGTTTTATTTATCCATAAAGATAAATTGTCGGGCTGATGGTTTACCGGGTAAGTGTGTAGGACGAAATAATTTACAGAATTTATGGATGGTTTCCCGAATTTATAATGCTACGTTCTGAGAAATTGTTACGGGAAATATTATCCGCAGTACAATTGAAAGGGAACCTGGAGATTTCGGCCAATACTTAGATTTAGACATTTTATGTGCACTGAAATGCGTAACTCACGGGTTTTATCAAGTTCATTATTTAAGTATTCTTCACTAAATTTGTGTCATTTAAGGGTTAATAATTGTAACGATTCTGCACACCTTCCAATTAATTTTGGTCTAAATTCTTCCTTTCTGTAAGAGCGTACACCGTACAGTTTCATGTTTGAAAAACTCATTTCTCTCAACTTTAAGACATCCCGCCCAAACTGCATCGTTTCGGACAAAATCCTTATTCATATGCAATACACACGTGAGAAAACCCCTCATCACTATATGCAAATGTCATGAAACTGTTTTGAGACATACATGTTGCTGCGCATTTTTCCATGGGTACAGATTTCATCCTGAATGTCTGGTACCTACCATGGGCACAACAATACATGCCATTCATTTGGAAAATCCATGGTTCAGAGGTGCAGTTTAAAGTAGATTTTCCTATCATATTCTTTAAAGAATTGATGAGCATCTTGGGAAAAAAACTCTGTACATACCAGAAACGAAGCTCGCGGCAAATGAATCCAAGGGGTAAAAAAAAGATAGCGAGTAAAGCTAAAATTCACAGTTATAATCTTCCTCGTCGATCTAAAAAATCGATCACACCAAACGAGAAATCCGTAAAATCAGACGTTTACAATCACTCACACTCGATTTACGAACGAAGGGGCGAGCAACAAGAATCACCACGTGCTCAAATCATCCGGAACCGAACCAAGAATCAACGCAGAACCACAATTCCAAAACCGATCACTGCACGAAAAACCGCGAACTGATAAGGATTCGAGCGCCGGAAAAACAAACGGGTACGCGCGACGCGCACTCGGTCGGAAAACTGCGGAAAAGCCGGACCGTTTTCACGATATCCGCGGCGACGTAATAAAAACGCGAGCACCACAAAACAACAGAAAAAAAAACAAAAACAAACAAACAAACAAACGCGGCGCGGGACGGTACGAGCGGGCTCGGGATCGCCGAGATTATACACCTGTTTTGGAAACACTCGCCTCGTCGCGACGGCCGGCGTCGGAGGCAACAGGTAGTACTCCCCACCACCGCGCAGGTATCGGGAGCCGAGGGGAGGGCCTTAATAGCCCCCTCCATTGACGCATTCTTTCACACAGATTCTTGGGAGTCCCCGGCCCCTTTGCCTGCGTTAACCTCAGGCATTTCACCTGTGCCTGCGTCGCGGCGCAAAAGCGCGGATGTAACGCGGGGTCCCGGCGGGAGTTGGGCGGTTTGAGCCGGAGAGGCCGCCTGCTGCCGCCTGCAGTGTCTCGGAGAAATGAACGCTTGCGAAATGAAGCGAAAATCGCATTCCTCTAATCAGCGCCTCCTCTACGAACTCCGCGCGACCGGTCCCTTGCGAGCGGCGCGGCGACCGGGGCGCTCGCTCGCCCGAACGGAGCCCGGCACTTCGTCGCTGGAGGGTTTTGAAACGATCGACATAAATCGATCGACAACGATCAACAACGATTTGATCGACACATTATTAAAAAGAAACACGGTGTCGAATCAATGGACATGGATCGGTCGAATAATAAAAACGTGAACCGATCGACGTTATTCAATCGACAAACGTGAATCAATCCACAAACTCGTGAATCGACCGACAAACTCATGAATCGTTCGACAAACCCGTAACCGTGAGTCGATCGACAAAATCCATCAACCGATCGAAAATTTTTTGAATCGACCGAAAAACCCGAGAATCGACTGAAAAACTCATGAATCGTTCGACAACCTCATGAGTCGATCGACAAAATCCGTCAACCGGTCGAAAATTTTGTGAATCGACCGAAAAATCTGCGCATCGATCGAATCGGTGTCGATCGGTTCACGTTTTTTTCGATCGATTCATGTCGATCGAATTCAAACCTTCCCTCTCGTAGGTCTGAGAAAAGGGCGCCACTTCTAACTGTACTCAGTGATGAGCCTGGGAAAGTATTGAGTCATATTGACGAGAGGGTTCATAGCGAAGTGCACTTACGGTCTTGTGTCAGGAGGGCGACAACTTTATGTTCCACGACTACGAGCTAGAAGGATGGCCAAACTTCTGCTTGAAGATACGTGGATCTTCTGAGCTGCGACGAAAATAGGTCGTGCGTGGCGCAGAATTTTGGTGGCTGAATTTTAAAGATTGGGGATATATCTAGTATCTAGCCCGTAGCAAAACTGGCTCTCTTCTCCTAAGGATGATTGAATATTTGATTGCTGTTTTTACTGATCTGACAAGTCCTTTATATTTACCGATTTTTTTAATATTTTATAATATTTGTGATTTGACGTGCGCAGTCCTGGATGACCTGACCAACAGGGCTATACTCTAGTCGCTCGTAGAAGATGAAGAACAACAAGGAGCTTAGCAACTTGCGCGGCCAAAAATTGACTATTAACTCGCACTAATTTTTTAAAAGCATTTGTAAGTAAAAGCAATGGTCTTATCGCTATTCTGGTCTTCAAGTTTCATTAATTTTTTGGAGTTTTACCAATTTTTCTAGTATTTTGGTGCTCTGGTCTTCAGATTTTCAAACTTAAAACGAGATCATTTTTCAGTGGGTTTCCGAGAAATTCACTCTGGAAAATGTTTCATTGCTTCGTACTTGAGCATGTTTTTGCTCACTTGACCAACCAGAGAGTGAACTATCCACTTATCCAGCTCCTACGGTTTTTTAAGCAGCAATCTCATTGCATGGACAGTTAAAGTGACTGATCAATCGCTTCTCCGCTTACATACAGTCAATGCTCAATGGTGTTCCTAGATTTCAATTTAGGGGTCTCACATTTATTAACCTCCCCCAAAAAAACAGAGGGCAGAAAAAATAACTCAACAATCAACCCGCTGCTCTTAATACCTTTTACAAAGCGCCTCATTGCGTCGTCATCCTCAAAGGTTGAAAACGATCGCGGGTTCTCTGAAGGATGCAAACAACCCACCCTCAACTTTCCGTCCCCTCCGTGGTACCGACTACCAAGAATAGAGGTCAAAACGGCTCCTCCCACGCAGCCGCGATATCGAGAGATGAAAGGCTCTTTGTGATCGGTGTCAGAAACTCAAAGGCACCAAACCAGCACGCAGAAAGCAAGGAAAGGTGTTCCGTCCCGGTGGATGAGATCGTTAGCTCCTACCTACCGGCGCACACTGGATCGAGATAATGGGGGAAGTCGGACAAAATGTTGAAAATTTAAAAGCTCACACTTCCGTTCATACAAAACTTTGAAGTTTTAAAAGTGGTTCTATTGGTTTCCTCGTGGAATTCTCTTCCAAAACCACCCCTTAAAATTTAAAATGTGACGAATTGAACATTAGAATTTGCAGTTTTAGTCAAAAATTTCATGTCCGACCTCTCTAATTGACTCGACCCACTGTGTGGCGGACCAGCGACACGAACAACGTTGCCGAATCGCGAAAGAAAACGCGAGGTATGGCTTCGAGCGGTTCAATTTCTCACACAGTCTAGCGGTCATGCTATAATCCCTGGTTTTTTGTCAGGTCAGTTCGAGATGGCCCATCCGGCTGGGTGGAAAAAAAATGAAGGGAAGGGAAGAAGTTGAACGAGCGAGATGAAAATCGGACAATTGGTGATGAGTTGTGCTGTAAACTATGCTACAAATTCGAAGGTTTCTGACTGTTCCCTTTCTGGGGTCAACAATGCGATGAATGCAACCCGGTGGTCGTGGGACCCTCTAAGTCTCCAGTCTGGTACGAAACAGTGTTGTCAGATTGAGCGTTTTACTTCTCCCTCGTTTACATCCCTTACCTCACGGCTGAAAATGATCGAATGACCCCTGCGTAAGGTTGATTCCATGTAAACGGCACACGGTGGATCGAGTCAATAGGAGAGCTCAGACAAAACTTGGAAACTTTAAAAGCTTATAACTCCAGATATACAAAACTTTGAGGTTCTAAACATGGCTCCATTGGTTTCCTTGAGAGATTTTTCTTCTGGAGGCACCCCTTGAAATTTAAAATGTGACGAAATAGACATCAAAATGTATGGTTTTAGTCAAAAATTTAATGTCCGACCTCTCTGGTTGACTCGATCCATTGTGCGGCAGTACTGACAAGAGAAAGTATAGCCAATTTACTAATGATTTCGAATTTTCAGACATTTCTGAAAAAATCCTTGACGTCAAACTAGTCTGTGATACGTTAAATAGCAGAATTTAAATTTAAAAAAAAAGGAAGAACTCTCCATCTTAATTCCCTCCTTGCCGTTCTTCCGGATTAGTTAAAATAACTCGATAACAGAGTGAGAGCCACAAACAGTTTCATTTTTCGATTTGTCGTCTTCAAGCGCGCGGTAGTTTTTTAGGGGTTTTTTTCTTTACACTTTCAAGACCAAATTTTGCGCATTGATATTTCCACGGCCAACATTTGACCCTTGGGGACTTTTTTAAAATGTCTGGGACTGCAGAAAATCCTAATGATCCAGAAGGAGGCGAAAGTCTATAGGTTCATGTCTATTCTCAGCCTTTTCGGTTGCAACGACTTCAATGAAACATGAAACTTTAACATCGTAACGAAAAAGTATTGAAGAGAGATTTGTTCGTTTAATTTTGAGCAGACATCGATCACGATCAAATTTCAATGCCTTAATTTTACTTTATTATTTATTCACTTATTTATAATTTCTTATCAACGAATAGAGAATGTCTGTCAATAAATATTTTATGGATGTTTCAATTATTTTCCTGCTCTCGGAGTAAATCTAATGGCCTCATTGTTATTGATGCAAACATACATGACATCAAAGATTCAAGCGACACCCTGCACAGTATTAGCCAGACCGATATAGGTTCAAACTTAAGTCTTGCTTTGACGTTTATAGAATCTAGTCGTGAAGTAAGTTATTTAAGTCTCGAAGAAAATTCAAGTGAAAGTTAGTCATGCATGGCACGTATTGTCTGTGTTCCACCATGAATAGAGACTAAAATTCTGCGCGATGCATATTTACGCTCCACTAGCGAAGCCCCGTGCGACTCTTTTGGCCCGGTGCTGTGAAACCAACTGTGACGCAATTCTACCCTAGGTGATTTACTCGCGTCTTTTAGTGCAGGGTCAAAATAGTTTTACAAAAAAGTACCACAATGGATTCCAGAGCAAGAAAATCATTTATGCTTACCAGCATACTTGCGTGTAATGAAACAGAACTAAAAAAATAACTTATTGCAGGTGGAAGGCGTACCTACTCCTTTAGGACATTACATTTAATAAACGATGTTATGGGATTTTATCTGAACTAATTTCCTCATAAGGTTGATCATGTAAAAGCGATTTCAACCTGAATTGCCGAGATTGTGAAAGCGCCTTCAATCACGGTGAATACAATTTAACATGCTGGCGAGTTGAAATACTCAGAGCTCATTCCTACGTGGCAAAAAATACAACGCTGATCTAACGCCTCACAAAAAAAGCTGTAGATACTATCTGCCAAGAAATTTCAACAGCAATGTCTGGCAAGCCGAGGAAATCGGCGACCTCCCAAAAATTGCGTCATAAATATTTCGTAAAATAGGTGTTTTTTCTCCAATAAGAATTTCACAAAAACGAAAAATAACGCGGCAGGACTGAAGGGTAAGTGTGAGAGGAATGATTCAATACGCTTTAATAATTTCAAAACAGAACGGTGGCTTCAGAAAATGAAACGCAATAAAAACGTTATCTCTCTAAAATCATATTTTTATTGGATGATCATACATCGCAATCTTTAGAGCTTCACTGTAAAGTGGGTCATACCGTTTTGAATCCGAAACGGCCATTTTCGCTCCCGTCAGAAAACCAGGTTTCACTCGGGAGAGCCGTTTTGGCTTCCGACCCAACATTTTCCTTCCCATTTTCACAGGCTCAGGACTGTCTATCAAGAAACGATAGGCATGGTTAAAAATGTGGTTAGTGCAAGATCATTGTCCACTTCGTGCGAAGTTTTGGTGATTCGCGGAAAGAAGGGAGCACTTTGATAAGTAGTACGTGCCAAGAAAATTTATTTGCTAAATCTCGGTTTTTAAGTCATTTACTAT